CACACACACACACACACACACACACACACACACACACACACACACATGAGAGAGGTGACTTTTCCCTACTCTCCAGACACAACCAATACAGACCCACATGAGTCCGGTCAGTAACATGGAAACATAATGAGGGCACGTTTGCACCCCAAAAAACGTTGACATCCATCAAATGGATTTAGAAAAGCACAAACGCATCAAGTGGCTTCGTTGAAAGTAAAAAAAACGAAATAAAGCTAAAATCAGATTAAGCCGTAGCGGTGCTTGCATAATGTTCCCACCATGACAGACATATTTGGTGGGAAAAGTTGAAGCAGAAGCACTAAACACCAGAACATGTTTGTTTCCATCTACATAAGAGACGCTAACGGTTGACTTCAACGGTTAATGCTTGCAGGACGTTTCCGTTTCCCTGATTCTGGAAGCGAAACACAAACACAGCGGTGTGTGTGTGTCGCTTTAAAAAATGAAGCAGAACTAAACAGCTATAATTACAGACTTTAACAGGCTGCTTCAGTAAAGCATCAGCCACCCAACAACTCTTTTTGATGTTTTCCATCGATCTATACGAGACCGTCTTGCTAAGTGCTGATGATACAAGTGGTTTAAGTTTTTGTTTTTAAACCACAAAAATATATTAATCCCCAAAATGATCAACAGTGCTTGCATGCATAACTGTGCATGTTGGGAGAGGTGTCTTCATGTGCTGTGCAGACCTCAATGTCCACAGTGTTGCACTCTCATCTCTTTACTAATGCTGAGCCACCATCCACTCTTCACATGTAAAAACAGGAAAAGAAAAGAAAGAACATCCTTGAAAGAAGTCCAATAGGCTCGTGCTGAAATTAAAGTTTCATCTCAAACAGAGTTACTGGCATCTGGATTGTGATTAAATCAAAAATCCGTTCCAGATTAATACGGGATCAGACAATAATTGCTCCTCAACGGGCAACGTTGGGCAGAGAATGCAAGGCCTATGTAGGTAAGGGCATGCCGAGATACGACATGGACGTAGCAGTTTACACACTTCCATCACTGCAGCAGAGCAATGAACGGAGCCGCTGTACTCCGCAGTCATCGTAATTAAAACGTTTTACAGTCCATTGAACAAGTTAGTTTGGTAATTTCTTATCCTGCTGTCACCATCGTATCTATGATGACGTCTCTGTAAAGGTCCGTGCACGTCTCCATGCGCTGTTTCCTTCCTCGGTGCCTTCGCGTGAGCACCCAGACTCCACTAGAATGTGCTCATTTCTGCACCCACAGAGGGACAGATTTCTTTTTAAAAAGTGATGTGAATTAAGTACTGATGGGGCAAAGACACTCTTTTGTTTTTAAAGGCTGGCTGGCAGGCGACAATCAGCCCCTGCACATAACATCATCCTCATCAACCATCTACAATTTGGTCTCATACTATACTCTAATTGGCAGACTTCTTCATCAGTTTGGCAGAGAGCAAGGAATGCTGGGAAGAGTTGGACTCCTCGGCTTCAGGGATGAGCAGACGTACTTTCTGATTTGTTCGTCTCCACTCTGAGTACAGCTGACAGTGGTAGCGGAAAGACACCTGCACAGACAACCAGGTAGGAGAAGACGGGAATAGGAGGTCAAAGTCACGTTTAAGACAAATTAGCTGGCAATTTTAAAAACGTGCATTACTACTAGTGCTGCAGTCTCATTTTTTACCAGGGTCCACAGGACATAGATGGTGAAGAGGGCGATGGTGAGGGCGATGAGGCCCACGGCCTGCAGCCAGCTGCCCAGCTGGAGATGGTCCTGAGCGCCCTTCAGGCACAGCCAGCCTGAAATGGCTGCTAGAGGCGTGATGAACAGGAAGCACACTATGTCGCAGAACAGCGTCCTCTTCTCATTACGAGGGCCGGAGTCCCGCAGCCACTGTGGAATAAGAAGGAGACAGAAAAACAGAGGAGGGAGAACATTTACATGAGACAGTGCAGCAAGGGAGAAGAGAGATCACAAGAAGACTTTAGTAGCAAGCAAGCTGAAAGATGAGGAACAAATAGCTACTTCTTCTTTACATATGCACAGTCATTCACAAACAGCAGCACAACCCCTGTAGAATACTAAAAAGACAAGCAGAAAGATTGATGCAGACGAGGCAAAGGGCATTGACCTTTGTTACCTCTGTGAGAGGCCTCGGTCGGCGCTCGATGCTGAGCTCCGTGTGGCAGAGCTCACAGTAGCTGGTGTTGGACGACGACAGCCACCTCTCCAGGCAGCTCTTGTGCACCGTGCCCAGGGTGCCTGTGCAGTGGCACGGGGACAGGAGACCCTCACTGCTGCCTCCTTCGTGGCAAATACGGCAGATGGGACCATCGCTGAGACAAAGGCAAAGATATTAGAAAAAAGGGAAAATGGTTTAAAATGCAGTTATGATGCTAAAATGCAGCACGTCAAAGATACTCAAGAGTGGACCAGCTCAGAATAAACTGACACATTTAAGCAATTTCTGCAAGTGGAAGAGAAAGCAACGCATTTAACGTTTGCTTCAGCAGAACACAGGTGTGACATCGGAAACCTGAATCTTGTGATCATATTACTCACAATAGGGAGGCTATGATAAATACACAACTACATCCGCAAAAAAAAGACGTAAAAGAAGAAGTAAAACTCAAAAATACAATTCAATAAATACTTATATAACATGAGCAAAATGTCACTGTTGTAAGGAAAATCTGGTGTAAATAATAAAACGAGTGATGGCCTGCTTTTTGTGCATATTTCTGTTCATGTTAATTCACCACACAGGACGTCTCTGCTGACAACATGAGTGCGAGTCTTACCTTTGTGTGCTCATGGGTTTGAGAACAGACGAGAGCAACCGTCCATCTATAGCGGTGACCTGGGTGACGTAGAGCGCCTGACACCCGTCACCGCCGCCGGCCTCCTCCACTCTCTTCCACACACCGGGGCTGCTCGCGCAGCCACACAGAGAGCCAGGCAGGTCGCAACAGCCCCCCGTCGTCATGGTGGAGGTGTGCCAAAACACTGGCCGTATACAGGTGGAGGTGAAAAAGGGTCAGAGGCGGAGGTTGTGCAAACTCTGCTCTCCACAGGTTGGTGATGGTTAGTTTCTACAAGCAAAGAAAGGGAGAGAGATTCAGCATTAATGGCTTTTACTTAAAGGGCCAGTGTGTAGCATGTTGAGGGATCTTTTAGCAGGAAAGGAATACAATAGTCATAACTATATTTAAGAGTTGTTGTGTTTTCCAAAGCTTAGAATGAGCCCGTCATAAATAAGGAGCAGGTCCTCTTCACCGAGTCCACCATATAGCACCGCCATGTTTCTACAGAAGCCCAGAATGGACAAACCTAACAATGGTTCTAGAGAGAGAGAGCCTCTCACATTTTTACGTCTTAGTTCTCCGTCACGCTTGTGAAACTGCTGATAGGTGAGCAGCAGAGTGCAAAACCCTCTGCACCGCCAGCAGACGCCTGACTTCTGCTCCTAAAGTAGTGTTACTACTATGATAAGATGGCCTCTGAGCAAAGCAAACAGCGTAGAAATAATAAAAAGATTCCGTCTGTTTGTTATCATGTCCAACCAAGTCTCGCTCAAGGAGAAGTCTCATTCTTAAATCTCTCAAAAGAGTTAGGCCTCATCCACATTGTCGAAGTCAGCTAAATATGAGGGAAGGCTGCGGATTTACAATACGCTACGAATGCCAGAAGCGTGAAGAGGTGCTGACAGTCTATTCTGCACTGCACATTTGTTTTCTGGTTGCAGACAGTTGGAAAACGTTCAACTTTGAGTAAAACGCTGCGCCCGTCACTGTCACTGTTATCCAGTCACAATGGATGAAGGGGAGGGACAAATACCACAAAGACCAATCGTCACATCCTACATGTTGGCCACAAGTGCTGAACAACAACAACAAAAACAACAACAACAACAGACGTGCATTGACGGTGCAGAATTGCCCGATACGATTACATTGCAGCTGGTTTAGCGGCTTAGCTGCTGTCACTCAAAGTTAGTCTCTTTGACACAAATGCATGAGAAAAAAAAGGTCCAGGTTGAAAAATACCAATTTCCCTTTAAAGCTGCATTACATCTAAATCTAACAATATCCTGTTCAGCTGTTCAACATGAGTGAAATTAAATATTGCATGAAAGCAATAAATGTCGTTCCAACAGTCATATTATCAACACTGTTACAGTCCCAATAAAAGACTAGGATTCAACAATAGAGTCTTATCTCTTGGTAAACTTAGCTGCATGTGCTGACGTTGCTCATCTGAGAGTGTGCTTCATAATTCATTTCCTGACATGTGAAAGTAACTAAGGTTATCTACAACGACACCGTGTCATTCACAAGAAAGCCGTCCGTTTGGAGGAGGGCCAGTTTGCCCACAGCCTCTGCTAATCCATTATAAAAAGCAAGTGTGTTCGTCAGAGGCCGTGAGTGTGATGTGCAGCAGACTGATAAACAGCTGTCTCCCCTCAGATAACCCCCCCCGACGGAAGATAAATGCTGAATTTGCTACAGACTGCAGTCATTCGTCTTGCTGTCTGAGAATTATCCCACAGTAACAGACCAATGCCCAATGGATTAATCTGCGTTCTGTCAAGACAATAAATACAGTTATTAGTTATTACATGACCCACGCTATGAAACTAAAAAGTACGTCTGACACGTGTGTACCGTCAGTATTGAAGTAGCTTCTTTCCTTTTGCAGAAATGATGAGCTTCTCTGCTTTTTCACGGTTTCAATGATGGCAAACAACGACATTCAATCGTGTCACTTAAGCACAAACATCTTGTATACGACACAAGACGGAGTTCACACACTGAGCCTGCATTTGATCCGCTTCATACCAGACTAGAAGAACTGTGGCCTCACTATTTAACGACAGCATTAAACCCAATCCAATACAATATATAATCCTATTTACTCTACACTGTTGTTGTTGTGTTGATTTTAAACGGGAGGTTTAACTGGGCAGATGGTGCAGAAATTCTTGTGTTAAATTGACGGGATTTTGTGTCTTTATTTGATCTCCTTATGAATAATTAATACAAGAATTTACACTCTACAATCATTTTAACGCAACAACTTCTGATCTCATTAAATCCACAAAAAAGACCTGTAAAAATGACTGTGCTTGTGAAGAAAATAATGTTCACTGGAACATTTCTGCTTTTTATTATATTCTAGTTATTTTCAACAACTTTTAAAGAGAACTGAAATAATCGAATCATATCTGTTATATTAAATATGCAGACCATAAAACTGTGGATGCAACATTAGCTGTGTGTAACAAATCTCAAATATCATATAATCTTGCTCACACTTGGATTGTTAAACCCAAAAATGTCCATCCAAAGCAATGGCAGTGTTACTATTTATGCATACTGATGCATGGGGGGGGGGGGCACGATTGATAGACACAATCCCTGACCCAGATAAACAAACGGGAAGCCCCCAAAAATAAGATAACAACATGTACAACTCTGATCAGTTGAGAACACATTCATTCGTGTGATTTTTAAGCCTCACGCATCATGTTGTACATGTGAATGTGACTGTAACCTGATGCACATTTTAATATACTACATTAATCAGTTAATACGTGCAGATATATATTATGCCATGATGCATTTAATACTGACAGACTAAAGTCATTTCCACTGTTTAAAGCCAATGTGACTAATCCAGATGTTAACCTCTGTGACCCAGACGTTTGTCTGGAACAGGATTGTTTTTTATCACAAGCACAACAATAACAGAAGCTGCAGTCGTTGGCAAATAAAATATAAAGTCTCCGCCTCTCTCCAACAACGCCAATAAATGTGTATGAAACAAATACATAAAGATCACAGAAGCAGAGAATCTAAACATAAAATAGTGTAGGTTAAAATATACCAAACTAAATATAAAACAAAGTGATATAAATTAGACAGTATTTGAAAATGAATAAACAGGAATGTAGTAAATGATAAGTATAAACAGTAGTGGGAAAGGTACACAGATCTTTTACTTAAGTAAAAGTAGAAATACCACAGTGTATAAATATGCAGTTAGAAGTAACAGTCCTGCATTCAAAACCTTACTTGTGTAAAAGCACAAAAGTATTAGCATTAAATAAACTAAAAGTATCAAAAGTCAAAGTACTCATTATGCAGAATGGTATACAATATATGTTATCATTGGATTATAATAACTTAATGCTGTACAGTTCATTGTAATTATTTTATATGTTGCTGGGTAGTTTTTAGTGGCAACATTATAATTTATTTGTTGATTTTGTTTTTTATTAATAATCAAAATATGTAAGTAACTAACTGAAGTTCAGAGAGATGTAGTATCAGCTAGTGCCATAAAAAACAATATGTCCGTCTGAGATGTGGTAAGAGTAGAAGTAGCATAATAAGGAAATACACAAGTAAAGTACAAGTAGATGCACCTAGTACATTAACATGCACATAAACAAAGATGTAAACGGTTATAAAACAGTAAGTAAAAGTACAAAAAAGTGTCGAAGGATGACCTCATCGATTATTATGATGATCATGTCAAAACAATAACACATTGACGTGGCGGCATACATTAGCTTTGTGTAACTAGCTAACGTTATATGTTACAGGGACATATTTACATATTTATTAGCAGACATTATCCATCAAAATCATATTTCATTGTCCAGTAAATATAGCTATGTAATCATTTGGTGACTGTTACAGATGTGTTGTTTGCTAGCTTCCAGCTGTCAGTAGCTAGCTAGCTGCTAACCTAAATAAATAAATAAATGCGTTAAAAATGTCTACTCACCCGGTGTCTTCTTCTTTAAAAGTGTTTCACTGCAGAAGCCACTACCGCCACGATATCCCCGTGTTCACCTCTCGTTTCATTTTTAGCTGTTATGTGTGAATAAACAACGCTGGTCAAAGTGCTCACTCGCTAGCTAATGATATGCTAACTCTGTGCTAACTTAGCTTAGCTTAGCAGGCCAGGCTTCCGGTTTCACAGAGCTGTAAATAAACCACCAGAGGCTCTTCATCAGCTGTCTGCTGCGGTGGAGACGAGGCAGAGGAGTGCAAAACACACAAAGCGGACGAGATCATATTGTTCAGATTGAGGATAACAACAAGTTTGTTGAAGGGAGGGCCGATCACCAAAAAAACATCTGACCTGACTGAGAAACATATGATTTCTTTAAAGTATTTATTTTAAAGCTGTTTTTATTGGTGAATTTTTTATTGCAGTTTACTTGATTTTTTTAACATGTTTTACACATACATACACAAAAATAGTGGCATGTAATGTATATACTGCCTACATAATGTTTTATTATATGACAATAACAGTGGGTACAAATGTATTTTACAAATAACGAAAACAATCTATTTTAATTGCAGAAACAATTAGTCTTCTCGCTACATGTGTTTTATTGGCTAATCTGAGCAGCAGGATTATTAGTTGATCTTTCAAATTGCTCGCTTTCACTTTATCTTTAAGCGTTTTATTTTTCATACAAATTTGTTTCCTGTTTTTATTATTTTTTAAATGTAAAACCCTTTGAGCTGCTTGTCTTGTATGAAAGCTGTTAAACGAAGTTTATTATTAAAAGGTACAATAAAAAAACACTCTGGAACGGCAACGTTTCTATTAAATTCTATTTTAAAAATGAAACCACTGACTCACACAGTGTGCATTTAATCATTTCTAATTTACTGAAATGAAGAACATTGATGGATCCAATTGGGCCAAAAGGCCTTTTTTAATTTTAGCATTTAGGATACATTTGATCAAGAGTTTTTTATTCATTTAAAATAAATACTTAGAAATTTCCCCGGAAGTCTTTCAAAGAGAAAGAAAATTCTGACAGATTTTATTATTAGTCGTGGAAATAGCAGGTCGAACGACTACATAGTTAATATTACTTCTTAATCATGGCAAGCTCCTTATCAAACCATTTCTATAAATACTGACCATGTTGGATTGATTGAATAAGCAATATGCATTTTGACAAATTTTTAAAGTTTGTCAAGTTCTTTTTAAACTTAAATGCATTCATAGTGACAATATTAGTTTGAATGAGGATGAAGAATTCTAAAACCAAGTACACAAGGGCATTGATTATATGCTGTAAAGCTACGTTTCATCCCGTGTATGAGCACCCAGTAGTCATGCGTGTCCATGTTAAAAGGCAGCCTGTCAAATGTACTTGAATGCAGCTGCAGCCTTTATGCTCTTTGCACAAGCGCTTCCTCCGACAGGATGACCGCCCATCAGTTGACACCTAAGTTGCTAAACAACAGTGTGGTGGAAACAGTGTTGAGTAATGCATCCAAAAATAAGTCCGTCTCCTACAGTGCATGTTCATGTGAACCAGGTTTATTTAAGCTTCAGTATTTTCTGTGTAATGCAAATGAACAAAAACAAGTTTTCTGCCATTACATATTTTTTAAGAAATGTCAAATATCATAAGACGTAAATACATCAAATCAATAAACGCGTGAAAGCATTTCTCACAGATGAGTGAATAAGAGGCATTTCAGCCAAGCACACAAACAATTTGCATTTCTAAATTTCAGTTCCACTTTCCCAGCTGGCTGGAGTGAAAGTGTTACATGAAGGGAGTATTTCATATTGGTGTATTTACCGTTTAAATGTTCTCAGATTACACACTTCCCTTTAACAGATGTCACATTCAAAAGAAAACAAAAGGGTGAGTAGGTACATGTGAGGACAATGAACACCACATATAGTGCTCTTTGTCTTTTCAACCAACAGCTTCCTTTACAACCAACAGGGAAGCGATGTTGGAGTTATAAAAATGGTGATTTGTTCCTCTGAAATGATTGGACATAAGTGCAAAAGAGATTTTCATTTTCCAGACAGCTTGTTAAAAGAACATTTTGACCTCAGCCAACTTCGATCCAGACTGATACGATTATCACACAAATAATAAATCTCACACACACACAATTTATAACATTAATTTAGCTATTTTGCATTACAGATCTTTAGCAAATAGTGTAGATTGGTTTGCCAAATACAGCAATGAAATGCAACTTTAGCAGCCTTGAACACGCTTAATGAGAAAACCCAAAACTGATAAGATTGCATCCGTCTACATTGGTATCCCTTGTCACCAAAATTAACACACACGCCCACGCAGACAAATAAAATCACTTCATTTCTGTCACACTTGCCCATAATAAGTCAGACAGTCACAGCCAGTCTGGTCTCTGGCTCACGCTAATTTCATGCCACAGTGGACACGGGGCTCGAAGAGGAAAATTAGAATCAAAAGGAGGCAAATAGAAAATCCAGACGGAGCAGAGGACACATCAATACTCCAGCGGTACCTTCTTCTCATCTCTTCTACACCCGCACTGCGTGACAGGCAGAATCAGGTCAACCAGACATGAAATTGGGATTCCACTGTAGCAGCAGATTATGGCAAGAGTCTGTATCATTGCAAGCTGAGGAAAAAAAGGAAACAAACCAGTTGAAGCGCTGACACACGGGTTTACTGATCCCTCACCATTCCTTCAACAGGAGCGGCTCAATAGGACCATAAAGGCTAGTTAACTAAGGATCGACTTCATAAGAGCTTTACACTCCGTCCTTCTGCGGACCATCACAGGCCGTAAATTCTTGTAGACAGGTTCGTCTGAGAATGGAGAATTAAGAGGAAAGAAAAATGAACAAAAAACAAACAAAGAAGTAAACAGAAAAAAAAAAGGAATGTCAAGTACAAGAATGTCTCGGTGTCACAGACTTTTGAACCCATGAGGGCATCATGCTGACAGCAGCACGACAACTGAAGTAAACCAGAGGTGAAGAGATGAAAAGACCGACAGAAAGTCAACCGGGAGAAGAAAGCGCGAGCGTCACAGGCTTTGGCAGCAGGGCAGTTTGCTGCCTCTCTGGCCGTCCGTGGTCGGGGGGAGACTTATGTCCACTACATTGTTGCCCGGAGACTCATCGTGTGCAGATCTGTCCGATATTTGCTTCTGAGATACAATACGGTAGATTTCTGTGAGAGAAAACAGTGACCATGAGTAAAAATACATGTTAGTGATCCATTTGTTTGAAATTTCTTATACACGACATAACATGGAGATGCGATACAAAGATTGAAGAAGCTATAAAACAAAAACACACATCCAAACAAATTATAGTCATAGCAGTCATGAAAGCCAAAATACAATTGGTTCTATGTTTAGAATGATAACAAAAAATGAATAGTTAAACTTAATGTTGTTTGTCAGTTTTCCTACCTGTGAGAATGTTCTTAAAGGCTTCTTCTACATTAGTGGAGTCCAAGGCGGAGGTTTCAATAAATGAGATAGCGTTCTTTTCTGAGCAGGAAAAGAGGACACAAAGTATATTTTGCACATTAAAGCAGTTTAAAATGTTAACAACGGACAGCTTTAAAGACAGTTTTCTCTAAATTAGTTTTCTCTCAGACTCCTACCGAAGATAATTCCGCATTTACATACAGTAATCAACTGGGGAAGTTTCATGAGATCTATTAATACATTTTACCCTTCTCCCCTTGAACTGAAGATTTGTTAAACAGAAACAACACTGAGTTCTACTTTAATTACATGACTATTCGAAATGCAAATCCATTTCCCTAAAGGCAAAACCTATTTACCTGCAAAGGCTCGAGCCTCGTCGGTGGGCACGGCCCTGAGGTGGCGGAGGTCACTCTTGTTCCCGACCTGCATGATGACGATGTTGTTGTCGGCGTGGTCCCTCAGCTCCTTCAGCCAGCGCTCAATGTTCTCGTACGTCAGGTGCTTGGCGATGTCGTAAACCAGGAGAGCTCCAACTGCCCCCCGGTAATACCTGGTGAGAGCATAAAACCAGATGAATACAGTAACTATACCATCTTTATTCCACGGGAAGACTTGCATCAATATACACAGAGAGAAAATAACTCACGCTGAGGTGATTGCTCTGTAGCGTTCTTGTCCAGCTGTGTCCCAAATTTGAGCCTTTATCGTCTTGCCGTCCACCTGGATGCTGCGGGTGGCGAACTCCACCCCGATGGTGCTCTTGCTCTCCAGGTTGAACTCATTTCTTGTGAAACGGGACAGCAGGTTACTCTTCCCCACTCCGGAGTCTCCGATTAGCACGACTGGAAACAAAAAGGCACAAAGACATTGAAACAGCAGCCCTGCAGTAATTTGAAAAACTGTAAGATAATGTTTTTCACCTTCAGACAATATTTTATTACTGTGCTGATAAATAGCAGTTGTGTGTATTTTAAAGGAGATATTATTAAACACCATTAGTTATATAAAAGTAGACACTATTATTTTTATTAATCCAGGAATGATTTATATTTACATTTTTTCTTTTCGTTTTCTAAAGTAGCTCATTGGTTGTTGTGCAAATAAAAATACAAAAAAAAGGTCAGAATTACTGCAATTTGTGTTGACTTTTCTCTTAAACACAAATATGTGGCAATATATTTTCACCAATTCAATTAGCTGCGTTACTTAATCTTTAATGTAGTTACTCCCTAAGTGCAGAAGTAACGTTATATTTACCCCTGGTTATGAATCACTGAAGTAAAGGACAACTAATAATATGATAAAGAGCAGCAGTTATGCTCGTTGTTTGACGATGTCAGCAAGTAAGCTAGCTAGCTGTTAAGTAGTCTTTAGCTTAGACGTCAGATGACTCACAACGTGAAGCAAAATCTATATTCATATTATTCTGTCTTAGACGACAGAAGGCGGCTGTAGAATAGCCTGTCGTTATATTTGAACTTCTGTCTTCGTAACTTGGTAAAAAACCGTCTCGAGTGATGAGGTTCTAACGAGGCCGAGTAGCTACACTGTTAGCATGCTAGCTAGCTTACTTAGCTAGCCACTTATTTGCCTAAACGTTAGCCTGCTAGCTCACGAGCGTCAACTGACATCCGAGTTGAACGTCTACAACTACTAAAAGACGCGTTACGACCAACGTGTTTTTGCACTACCCACTGATATGTTAACTGAAAATACTGATTACAGGTTTTGCTCATGTTATCGACTGTCACTATGCTACTAGCAGAGCTAACTTTAGCATTTTGACGCTGGCTTAATAGTGGACTTCCTCAGTTCGTCCTGCTGTCATCGAACTTCTACAAAGAGGACTTAGACGCTGTCAATCATCCACCTTTAAAGAAGAGTTTACCTTTGAACAAATAGTCGTATTCGTCATCTCGGGTTCCCATTTTTAGAAGAGTAGTTTTTGTACTTTTTGAAGTACTTTTCCCCACAAACAACAACAACAGTCCAGCCTACCCGGCAGCTAGTAGGTAGGCACCGCCCTCAAATGAAGAGGCCGAGCACGTGAGTTTAGGAACCTGGCTGTCGACCAATAGGATATGTTGTCATATTGATTGACACATACATTAACCAATCATCCGCTTTCTTTGACAATGCAGCCAATCATCATGCAGAGTCGTATAAAGGCAGAATCGCGTCAACGGAAGTTCAACTACTAGAACAAAAGAGTTCCTTTTGATAAATCATTCAGTGCCTCAGCACACTGACAGGCCCATTGGAGTAAAACTACAGAAGTAGTACTAGAAACCAACCACATTCTGACCTGCCAGAAGTGTAAGAGCAAAGAACGACATTTAGGTAGCATTCCTGGAAATTTGGGGAGCATATAATGATTTGAAGACGAGTTTTCATTTTGCAATTACACAAATATTACATGTTTTGTGTTGCTTGCTGTTTTTTTTAAATGCTGATTCTGTTATTTTTAGATATGCTAACATCATGGCTCTGAGTCTGTCACTTGGTACAGCCTTTAAATCTGCATGAAATTTTGTACAGACATGAATCCTCATCATCGAGTCAAAATTTGAATTTGTCCAATATTTTGGTTTATGACCGGTTACCAAGGTGGCAACCTCTGGTTCTGAAAAGTGAAGTCAATGCGGAAGTGCCTTAAACTTGCATTCTTTCTAATAGCCAGCAGGGGGCAACTCCTCTAGTTGCAAAAATAGGATTGTATAGAAGTATATGAGAAAATGACTCTACGTCTCACTTGATTTATTACCTCAGTTGTTGTTTACCTTTAACCATCTCAACGTGTTTTCAGTTCACGAAAGTTAATTGTAACCTTTGTCGCCTATTTTTTCAGCGTTCGGTTGTACTTAGACTTCTGGTTGCAAAAAACCAAGATGGCGACGGCCAAAATGACAAACTCGAGGTAAACGTCAACATGCTAACATGATAAACTGAGATGGTGAACAAGGAAAACCTTATACCAACTTAGCATCAGCATTTACACATCATAATTGTTAACATGTTAGTATATTAAAGTTAGCATTTAGCTCAAATAAATAAACCCATGCCCAAGTGAAGCCTCATAGAGCATCTAGCATGGCTGTAGTCTTTTTCAGACTAAACTTCATCCATTGGAGTAAACAGATGACGTGACTCTCATTAAACGGCTCTGAACACGTCGAGACAAATGTCCTCCCAACTCTGACGCCCTGTGTCCTGCAGATTGAGCAACATCCCAGTCTTTAGCAACATAACAATATTTTTGAGCATGCCACACCAACTGTTTCACAATGTTTATTGAAGGCAGAGATCACCAGAATCCGTGACATCACAACCACATTATCCAATCATAAGACTTTTGGACTCTTGAGCTCTTCTGCTCATCACTTGGAGATATTATTCACCTTTAATATAACTTTACTTACTGTTTTTCAACTGGATACACCTCTGTATGAACATATTTATACTTATCGTTATACATTTATATTTAATACATTCCTCTTTACATTGAATTGATTTATTTGCCTTTCTTTATGTTATATTGTATCTTTTATTTTGACATGCACAATTGTATGTTCAGTCTTTTTATTTTGTTTTAACCTTTTTTTTAAAATACACATTTAATTAGCATTGTTGAGATTTAGGATTTTCATTGCCAACGACAAATAAAGAACTTGAACTTGAACAATTTAACAAAAAAAGGTTGTATGAGTTTGAAAAATCAGATCATCGACATCCAATTCAACGATTTACAAAGCCTGTATGTGACAATAAAGAATACAATAGGCTATACTATGTTGGACTTTACTAACTGGCCCTAACTATACAGTCTTCCTACTGTTATTAAAGCAGGTTAGTGACTAAGTAATATGTTACTATATAGAGAGGCCAGTAGTTCCTGGTCACTTTTACATGAGTGGAGTCGTCCAACCTCGACTGTTGATGAAGCGATTATTTTTCAGAATTCCTTAAATAAAGGCTGGAGTTGCGATTCCTCCTCTGCTGGTTGTCTGATCTGTGGATGAGTTTACCCTCCAGCTCTACTGGTAGGAATGGACACTTGATGGTCACTTTATCTTAAAGGGTTCAGAATGGCTTCACCCCACTGAGAAGGTGAATGGCTGAAACCCGCCATCCCTCCAATCAGCACGCCGTAGACAAACACGCTGCATTTACGTCTTCAAATCTGTCTATATGACATTTCACATCTTTGAGAATTTTATCTCTGTCTTACATATTATTTTTAAGCTTCGTACTGTTAGCT